GTAGGGGAAGTGGGAGGGGTAGGGGAAAGGAAAGAAGGGAAAAGAAAAAAATATGAGAAAAGGAAAAACTGGAAACAAAGTCTTTGTAAATAGGGAAGGGTGGAGGGGGTGGAGGGGGTGAAGGCAAGGCAGGGGAATGGGGAAAAATAAGGACCAAGATACATCATGTAAAGGTACAAGAAACCAATGATGAATGTAACTGTACTGTATACCTAAAATGTACCAATAAACTTAATGAAAAAAAATAAGTTTTTAAATTTTCTTGTATAGTTGGAAGTTTTCTCAATAAAACTAGGCCAGGGAAAAAAAAAGCGTGGAGATACTGAAGGCAATTCCTCCTGTACTCGTCCGTGTTCAGCGGGTTATCTGGGCAACAAAGCCTGGCCACTGCAAATGGTCAGGAAGGCCTCACTGAGCTTCCACACTTGCCTTGATTTGTGGAGCAACAGGTAACTAAGCCCTGGAGGGGAATGAGGTACCAGAGCCAGAGGGCCTCGAAGAGCAGTTGCTCTGGATCACACAGCCGAGGAGTATGACTATTTCTATCCTTCAGTGCTCCCCCAGTGTACTGCTGGGCCAGCAGGGAAGATCGTAGGCACAGAAAAGGGACCTTGTAAAAAGGGTAACAGTTTCTAGAGGAAATTCTACTGCTGCTCAAATTTGATCACTCCACAAACAAACACCAGGTGTCACACTCTGCACCTGGGGCTGGCTAGTGATCCTGCCTGGGACACAGATATTCCATTAATTCCTCAACTGCAGTAGCAATATTAGGAAATGCAATTTCAAGTTTTCTGATCAAATTTGGCCACATGGTAATTCAAGAGAAAGCTTATACTTAATCCTATGTGCAACCAACTGAACCTTCATGACTGCCACTCTTCTGAAAAGAGGTTTTTTTTAAAAACATAGTACAATACAAGGTGTCACCTTCAGTTCCTGAAGCTTCTCTATACTTGTGGTAAAGTGTCCAACATTAGCTTCGACATGCTCGAATTGTTTTAAATATTCTTGGTTTCGAATATGAGCCTTCTTTTCAGATTCACATATATCCTTCAGGTATTTCTTTAGTTTTACATATTTCAGCTTAGCTCTAGAAAAAAAATAATAAAAGCAAATTTTTTAACAATGGAGTTAGATTCTGACAAACCTAAGGAGAGTTTCTCTTTAACAAAATTGTTAACGAGGCAATGAAATCTAAGATACTTTACCCAAGGTACTATAACTCAAAGGAAATTAATCAGCATCCCTGAGGTGCTACCTGGGGTACATCATGGCAGAATACTCTTACTCTTGAAGAACATATACAAGATCATACAGTAACACTCACATGGTAAAGATTTATATGGATTTATTTCTCAAAATGAAATATGATTTCAGGAGTGGCATCTATGTAGCCACATTCAGATACATAGCACATTGGCATTTTTTTATATGACAGATAACTTCAAAGTTACTCGCTCATAAGGGAATAGGACAAAACTATAAATGATAATCCACACAACTGAGAAATTTTTAAATTCAAAATATCAAAAAAGCTCTCATTTTATTAAAATAATTGTTAGATATTACAAAAACCATATTGTTAAAATGTTTATAATAATATATAGATTTTACTCAAACTGTGCAGCACCAAAAGACAAACTGGACATCTGCAAGTAATCCTCCTGCTCTTCTCAGGGCACCAATACTGCTAATCCAACTCTTCTTCACAAGTATTGAAATCATAAGAGTACCTGTTACAAGGCATTTACATTGCTGAGTAGTAAATTGCCTAACATTCTTTTACCAAGAAAATGAGTTTTAAAAGCCACAAATATATTCACCTCAAAACAGATTGCAAAGATGGTGGAGATTTTCAACACTAATCACCAACAAACCTTAAACCTCTAATACTAGGCCAACAATTTTCCAAAACAATTGTGCTAGTGATGATGTGCTTTGACAGTGGTTACTTGTTACCATTCTTCTTTCTGAAAAGAACTTATGAGTTTCTTTTTTGTTTTGCCTATGTCTGTGTTTTTGACACATATGACAGAAATGGACGTAAACCTAACACACGGTTTTTCATACTGAGGCACTTAGCAAAGCTGGTACCTCCAGTATTCGTCTGGAGCAGGTACCACAGTAACCAGGCCTTCTCCATCCACATTCTAGTTCCCTTCTCTACCCATTAACCTTCAAAGCTGGTCATACAAGTCAGACATCCACCTGTCCATGCAATCACTCATATGCTCACCCCTCTAAGCATGAAAGCCAGTCACATACAGTCAATAGAAAAAACAGTCAACTAAGTAAACACAGTGTGGTGAAGGCTGTGCAGGAAATGGAAAGGCACTTTCATAGACTGGGCAGCCCTGACCTGATAAAAGGGAAGTAGGGACCTTCCCAGTGGAAATATTTTTCAGCTGAGACCTAAAAGATGGGTAAAAGTTAAGCAAAATTGGAGAAAACAAGAATAAAGGGATGAGAGAAAACTTCTGGGCAGCAGAAACTGCATGCTAGAGAGTTCAAAGGCAATAAATAAGAATAAGTTCTTGATTCTTCATTTGGGTCAGCACTGTTTGAACGCTCTGTGTGTACTAACTCATTGTGTGCTTGTCCATAACTATCATTATTCCCGATTGAAGTAACTGCCACAAGCCCACTTGGCTGAGAGCTGCTGAGTATCAGATGGAGCTGAGGTGTTTACCAACAGAGCCTACATGCTTATGTGCTATACTCGAAAGAGTTGTTGTGCTTAAGAAACTATAAAGTTTCGGGCAACACAGAACTTTAGGGAGAGGGTGAAGAGGTGGTTATGATGGAGAACCTGGTGGGCCGTGGTAGGGGACACCTCCAGGACCCTAGTCCATCCCCTGCCACCTTCCTTGTACCAGCCACTGCAGCAGCCTGGCAGCACCAGCCTCAGCTCCCCACCATCTCCTGCTCTCCTGGGATGGTCTCTCTTTGCTAGCAGCAGGGAACCAATGCTTGCATGTAAGAAGGAGTTCACTCCACCAGGCCACTTTTACAATGGGTGGGGGTGCTCAGCAGAGCAAAGGGCAGTCGCCCCGGCTCCTCTGAAGGTCTGGAGGAGCCAAACCAGGCAGCTCCCATTTCCTTCTTCCCAGCCTCATTCACCAGCTGTGTAACCACCTCCACAAGTCAACTACCACCTACACAAACCCTAGATTCAGGCACTGCCTTCTCAGGGAACCAGGGAGAGGCAGCCATGTTGGTTAGCTTGGATTTTAAGGTACAGGAAGCTGCCCAAGTACAGGCTGCATGGAGTCTATACCAGTCCCGGCCCCAACAGCGATGGGCTGGCAAAACAGCAGCTACCATGAACTTCCTCCAACTTGAGCTGACCCTGAGGCCAGGGCACCCTCAAGACAGCTGTTTCTTGTCTCTTTTGGAGCTGCTAGGGCATATGGCTTCTACCTTGACTGGAAACCTTGGAAGTATATTTGTTTTAAACTAATGGATACTTCTGAAGAAGAAGAAATAAACAGACTTAATGGGTGATTTGTTTTTACAGTATTCTCCTCTCTCTCTCTATTTCATTTTTCACTTAGTGTGCCATGCATAAATCACAAATTTAATGTTATCATAGCCAGAAACTCTGAATATGAATGTCAGAGGTAATGGTAAACATTTAGGTTACGAATAAAGTTCAGTTTTTATAAAATAGAAATTAAGATATTAAAATCTGTTCTTAATATCATAGTAAGTAACCTGGAAAGGATAACAGATATATTATCCATTATAACACTTTTAATAGTCATTCTCATATATCCATGAAAAGAAACCAGGTAACCCTGCCTACAGTAGTTTGTTGAAAGATCAACTATAATAATTACATGCCATAATCATTACAGAAACTCCTTTAAAATATTTAAGTAAATCATATTCCTAAAATAATGCAAACAACAAATAATGAAAAAATTTTCTTCATAATTTTCTTCATCAATTTTCTTCGTAATAATATTAAATTGTAACAGCCAATTCAAATTATTAGATATTACACATGAGAGAATGGGAAAAGTATTCCAACTACAGAATTTGGAGTATGGTTTAAATTTTGATTCACATATCCAAATTGCCTTGAAAACTGTCAGCACAAGGGCCAGGGATTTAGCTCAGTGGTTCTGCTGCCTGCCTCGCAAGCACAAGGTCCCGAGTTTGATCCCTGGTACCAAAAAAAACCCCCAAAAAACTGTCAGCACCATCATCACTTACCTGTATATGTCAGACTGATTATACTCATAAAGTTTCTTTTCCAGGTCTAGTCTCTTCTTTTCACTATAATCCAGAGAGAAATATTTCATAAATCATCATATTATTAAGTAATAAGCTGATCAACTTAGGCCATGATCTCTTTAAAAATCACATCTCTGTGAGAATGCTTCTCTGGTCTAAAAAGCAGAAAATGCCAGATGTGTTCAAAACAAAGACATAAAAACATCAATCACTAGGGAAGTCCAAAAACAAAACAAATCCCAAAAGGAAGCAAAACCCCAAGATTCTCCAAGTGAAGGGGGAAATGCAGCAGGAAAGGCTGGGATGCGTGTTCATCACTCAGCAGGTGCCTCTCAAGCACCCTGGACAAACCAGGTGCTGCTCTAGGCCCAGAGTCTAACATGGTGAACAAGTTGCCACCAGGCCCTGCTCTCGGGCAGGTGACATTTCAGGATAAGACAGACAACAGGGCCAGTTTCTCCCAGCTGGTGGTGTTCAAGCAGAGCCATGCTGGACTGAAGACTGGTAGCTCGTTCTGCTCCCAGCCAGTGGCCAGGGCACAGCCAGTGGCAGAGTTAGGATAAGGCCTCTAGGAAGCACACTTGGCCTCACTCACGCCTGATGAAGATCAGGTCTCCTAGCACTCCAGACTTTTCTAACTTCACAGTGTTGCCTTGCCTGTCTGTTACTAGCACTAGGGAGTAACCAGTGATGCTCAGGTGAGTCTTGACAGTAAACCAGAGCAGGAACTGAAAGACTGAGGATTTCCAGACTGGACAGACTGAAAAGACAAGGTTAGAGGTAGGAAAAAAGGGGCAATGACAGCCAAGAGCTGGGAGTAGGGGCCAGAGCTGTGGTGGGAAGCCACTTCCCAAGAAGATGCAACCACAGAGCGCTCCATCTGCCGCCACCACTCAGCAACAGCTCAGCTCACTAAAGCCCAACTGCTGTTCTAAGTTAACATTAAATTAAGGGCTGCAAGAGAAGCCACATCATTTCTGAGAGAATACGGAAAAAGGACTGTGAAACAAAGACCAGGGCTCCAGCAGAAGGTGATCTTGAGCTGGCCTCCTTCAGGACAGCAAGTTTCCTTTTGAACTCATTTTTTGTTGCTGTTTTCCTTCATCTTTTTTTCCTTAAAAAAAAATTATCCCACTGGGGCATAGTAGTGCACTCCTGTAATCCCAGCACTCTGAGAGACCGCAGCAGGTGGACTGCAAGTTCAAGTCCAGCTTGAGCAACTCAGCAAGACTGTCCCAACAGAAAAATAAGAAAGGTTGGGGATGTAGCCAGTAGTAAGGCCCTGGGTTCAATCCCCAGTACTGAGGAAAAAAATCTCCCAAATTACTCTGAAGCTGTATTACAAGTTAAATGAGTTTCTGTCCTAGCACAATATTAAATGGAAATTTCCATTTACCTAAAATTTTTTCGATGGATAAATGGAGTCCAACACCAAACACACAGCCTTTGCTTGGGGAATACAACCTATTCTTCAGCTGGGGAATGCCTACGTTAACAGGGCGAAAAAAAATAATAAAACCACATTTTAAACCAATAGCTTCCCACAGATCCCACAGATGTTTACTTTCTCATTAACAGTGAACTCAGAATAGGTATCAAGGAAATATGATATAAGTGCTTCCACATTAGGAATTTTTATTAGTCATTTTTCCCCTTGAAAGGTTTTATACTCAGTTGGGTGTTTAGTTCATGAAGACTGGGCAGTCTGGGCAATTTGTCATTAAACCTCAGAGACAGAAAGACACCATGACCTGTGCCGCAACACACTGCTTCATTTCCGTAGCACTCTTGCCAGGAATGCATGACTGGAGTCTGCTCCAGAGGAACCAAGAGATGGACCAGCTGGCAGGACACCCTCTAGAGTAAGGGCTGAACTCTATGTGACTGTCAGGAGCATGAAAGAAAAGGCGAGCCCGAGGAACTGTTCCAGACTGGGGGACAGTGAAGAGGTACACAAAATGTGACCTGGGTTCCCTAATGAGACCCTGGGCCAGAAAGAAAAGGGGACATGTTTAGGACAATTGGAAATGTGGTGAGGGTCTGTGGACTGGAGTACCAAGACTGAATCCTGCAAGGGGATTGTGTGTGAGAGCAACCCTGTGAGATAGGAGGTAGGATGTGGAAAGCTGGCTAGGGAAACAAGCAGGACTTGTCAGTTACAAAATCCCAGGACAGTGCCAAGTAATTCCCAGGACCTTGTATGCGGGACTTCTCATGAGATCCTAGGAGATGTGGATGACATATAAGAACATAGATGCCAGGAGGAGCCCACTATCATGACTCCTTACAGTATCCCACTCTGTGTCTTCTAGCCTAGGATATACTTTTATTTTTGCTCTTTTTCTCTCTTGTTTGGCCCAAACTTGCTCTGCAGAGCCAGTTTCTCCCTTACCATTTCACTCCTCACTTTTCAAATAAACTTTTGGCACCTTTTGGCTTGTCTTGTTCAATTTTTCATTTAAGGCAAGCAGGACCTGGAATACGTTTAATTGGCGAGCCATTTCTAAATGAACTACCCCATAATACTTGTTTTATGGGAATATTCACTAGAGATGTTAGGAGCAATGGCATATCCTATCTATAATTCTCAAATGGGTCAGAAAAGATTAAGGGTGGCTGTAGAAAAAATGAAAATGAAATAAATAATAGTAGTTGAGGAATCTGGGTAAGGAGAATATTGGTGGTCTCTGTCCCACATTTATAACATTTCTAAAGCTTGAACTTGTTTTGAAATGATTTTTTAAAATTAATCTATAACATTTTCTGAAAAAGGATCAAAGTCTCTTTGGAAATCTATCCTCTCCCAAGCAGCAAGTTCCTTTTAACAACAAATGCAAAACTTCTTTGTTCCTGTTCTGTCTTTTGTACATGTAGATGCCTACTAATCACATTTCCTCTCCTAAAGAATGCTTACTTCACACAATGAACGATCACAAACACCCCATGGCCCTCTATTCCAGGCAGAGTGGCACAAATCTTGTCAACTCTTTACCACTGGCCTCATCCGCATTGCAGCACTCTGCTAAATGCTTCAGCCTGTTTCAAATGTAAGACTGAAAACCTGATATTTACCCCAGTAAAAAAGGCAAGAGAAGCTTTACTGTATTTTTTTTTCTTTTTTTTTTTTTTGGTACTGGGGATCGAACTCAGGACCTTACACTTGCAAGGCAGGCGCCAGAACCACTGAGCTAAATCCCAGAAGCTTTACTGTAGGATTGCCTTTTCATGCATATTTCAGAACCTTTCAAACACGCTTGCCTCAGATGCTTCCATGGTCTGTTTTCAGTCATTTGCACTCCTTCATCAGGACCATGGCACATCTGACACAGCTGGGTGCTCCTAAGATGACTGAGTGTTCTCCTTTTAAGCCATTTATTACTCTCTTTTTGCCTCAATATCACAATTCTCCACTCTCCTCCGCTTTACTCAACTAATATCTCAGTGTCAATTTCTAAACTATTATGATATCTCACTTTGAATCAATATTGCCATTGAAAAAACAGGCCTGTAAAGGAGATGCTCTTCTATACAATAATTCTAAGAGCCAATTCCACTTACATGTTTCTACCATGCCTGTGGGCATTATACACACTACAAGTCACTCCATTAAATTCTTCAAGATTCAATTGTTGACTCTCACCACAATGCACAGAGAACACTGTATACCTACAGGAAAACATTCAGACTATAAAATTATGTCCATGTGAGAATACAGCTAAAATGCCCCGAGCTCAAAAACATGACAGTTATGAGGGTACAGTTATTAGACCAGCTAACATTTCAATGATCTCTTCTAAAAGGGCTGGGTAAGAGTGGGGGAGTATTTGTTTTGTTTTTAAATCTCCCATTCCCCAGAAGTTTCTGGATTGATAAACCATCTTGACTACTACCCAGATTCCAATCTTTGAAATGATTATAGAATTTTAGGAGACAGTGGTCCCTGTGGTCACAAGGATTGATTGTAATAAAAAGGTGCATCCAAACATGACACAATGATGTCCTTTATGCATTGCTTCGCAAAATTACATCTTTCAGTATTTTTAAACTTTAAGGTCTATTAATTAGTCTCATAAAGAAAAAAAATCCATGACCCTACTTTACATATTATTCAAGTCACCTCATTTCTGGAGAAGAGTCAAGGTTCAGAAAGGCCAAAAGGATCTGATCAACGTCTCTCAACTGATCATGGACTAGAACCCAGGTTTCCACATTTTTCTTGCAGCTTTATCTTTATTTAAAGTTATTTGCCTCTATTTTGTGTGTACTGTGCATTAATTAGAGTTAGTTATGGATTCTTAAAATGAAAAATGAATATACACAGCAACAGATTTGTACTGACTTAAAAATAAAACAAATCTCCCAATGCAGAAGCACAAACAGGCCATAAAATTTAACTCGAATTTCTTATATTATTTCAACAGCCTCACCTTGCTTAATAATTAAAGCAATAAGTGTTAAACACAAAATGGGTAATGATTACACAGTTATTGTACCATAAGGACTATAAACAGCCAGGTGTTCCTAGCACAGGAAGCAATAATAACTCATGATTAACCTAGTTTAAAAAAAGACCACTTAAATCAGTAAAATTTTAAGATCAGGTCTTTAGCTGAGCAACACAATAACTGAAGGCCTGGGATAACTAAGCCACTCTTCAAACAGAAAAGACAGTAAGCCCCAAAGCACTGTAATTGTCCTGAAACACACAGCAATATCCTATTCTTTAATTATCAGGGATGTGGTGACATTTAACATCATCTTGGAAATATAGGATCCACTTTTCCTGGTGGGCTGGAAAGTGGTTATTATTTAGTGACAATATGTGGCCACAGAATTCTATGTAAGACAGTCATAGCTCCTAGACACTAGCTGGTGGACTTTGGGATTTCTTAGGTAAATTCAACAAATATTTACCAACCACCTGCTCCACTACCAGTATTCAGATTGAGCTAACTTTGGTTCCTAGACTCCTGGAATTCTCAGTCTATGCAAAGAGCAAGTCATTTTAACCCCTCCACCCCTCCCCCACCCCCAGAGAGTGCTTTGAATGTATTAGGTGAATACACTAACCACTATAACACTATGGAAACCTACTCAGAGAGTGCTTTGAGAATGCTAAGGGTGCATAGGTTAGGGAATGGGTTGAGGCAGGAAAGGTTCTGCAGGGAATGATTTTTTTTTTTTTTTTTTTTAAGTTGGAGATGAAGAGGTCCCTGTGGGTGAGTGGCAGTATGCTAGGAAGAAAACAAGATGGGGAAAAAAAGATAAAATACGGTGCAAACAATTAAGGAGACCTGTTTAGATGCTCTATAAATAATTGAGAAATATTAAATCTAGCATAAGATGAATGTAATTCCTCTTCAAAATCACTCACTTCTGCCTTTACCTTATATGTAATTATTGTATTGCTATCATTTTGGAATTGTTAGAGACAGATCTGTTGACAAAAATGATTTTGTAACTTTCAACGCTCTTTAAACGTTTCATTTATCAAGAGATCCAAAAATCTATTTCCTTTCTTGTCAACTAATGAGATGTCTAACTCCAATTAATTTGGCAGCTAAGTATGAGTTCCAACAACTTTCCTTTCATGTGGTTATTTATAGTCAATTGCTCTCTAGTTCTTTTACTTTACGCACTTTAGATCTAGCTGTTTTCAGGCTCCCATCTTTTCTAGGTTAATCATAGGCATCATGAACTCTGTGGAAGCTGAACTTCACTGGTTGGAAATTTCATCCCTTCTCTGGAAATTTAGCCAGCCCCAGCTACCCCCTAAAAAACCAACCAACCAACCACAAAGCCTGCTGCACTTGAGCGCGGTATGTGTAACACACACTCACTCCCCTGCCTGAGTTCCTGGACCTGTCATCTGGATGCAGAGCGGCTGTCAAGGTGGGATGACAATCTGAAGAGAGAGGGGACGCGTGCAGCAGGGGACTGGAGAAATTCACAGGGCTTGATGTTGAGTGACAGGCAGGAGATCTCCCACTGTCGTGTCTGGGCAAATTCAGAGACGCGGCTATGATCGCCCAGAGGAGTCCCAGCCCTTCCGCGACACCCCCAACCCTGGGGACCGGAGAAGCCGCAGTCCTGGCTCGGTCGGGGGCGTCCAGGTGGGCCAGCGTGGCACAAGGCCGGGCTGTGAGGAACGGGGCGCCCCGAGGGCCCGAGCAGCGCCAGCCCCGTCTCACTCGGGCAGCGTACCTGTCTCGCAGCCCTTGCTGGAGGCGGCCCACCCTCTCGTAGTACTCGGAGCTCAGCAGGGGCAGGGAGGTGGCGGGAGCCCAGCGCATGCTGCCGCCGGGAGCTGCGCCCTCCAGCCCGGCCTCAGAGCCGCCCATGTACCCCGGTTGCCGCGGATACTGCCCCAGCATGCACCTCGGTAAACACGGCGCGCCGCCGACGGGGGCGGAGCAAACTGCTAGGGCGGGGCAACGTGCCCTGGCGAAATGTATGAGGTGGGACAGCAGGGCGGGGCACCGTGGAGGGGCGTGGCAAAGACATTTGGGTGGGGAAAGGAAGCCGGGAGGAGGCGGGCGGGGCGGTGTGGGACGGAGCCGTGGGGGTGGGGTCAGCCTCTCCCCAGGTTCGAGTCTCTCTCTGCCTCTCCGCTGTCCCTCATCCTTAAGAACTCACACTAGACGCATTAACTTTACAAGGTGCATTCTCTCTCTTGTTTTCCCCCTTTTCTCCCTCCTTCCCTCCCTGGATTTGCTGAGTGCCAGGTACTATGATAAGCTTGTTTTTCTACCAGCACTGACAACCCTGGATGTACTTCCGAGCTTACTTGAAAATGCACGCAACTCTGAGGATGTGTTTAATGCTCCAGTAGGGGCGAGGGGGGCGTCCACCTGTGGCCTGCGAGGCACTCCTGTGTGCAGACAGCTCGATGGACTGGAACGCGCCCGGACATCCCCGGAATCCTCCCTGGGTTCCTGGCAGCTGCTCCTTCTTCACATGCAGGTTGTCCTGAGAGGCCAGGCCCCTCACAGGAACAGAAGGGGCTGTTGGGGGGGATCAGTGTAGCGACAGATTAGTTAATAGGTGTTGGCCACTATGAGAAGTCCCAGCACAAACCAGCGTCAGTGTTCATCATCACCACGTGGTGAGAAGCCACCGGAAGAAGGCCACCATATGCCATGCCCCGACCCTGCACTTCAGTCCCTTCACTTCTTCATGTCTTTTGGTTTCTTTTCTCAGCCTTTAATTTCACTCACTTATGTGCAACATGTGACTTAAACCAGTAAGCTGATCATTAGTGGGAGGAATGGAACTATGTACAATATATCAGTTAGCCTTCCTTCATCTTGCCAGGTCCAGAGCAAGGCCCTAAACGGAATCCCAAGTGCCATCTGCCTCAATGCTCAAAGTTAGAAATCAAGAAAACAAACTATAGGTAAAAGGCATTCTCTGTTACTACCTTGGCCAAGGCACCTTCTTAAGAACCTGGAAGCCCGGGATGGGCTCCTTCCCTAGTCCCCACACCCCTCCCCAGATTAGTCCTGCAGAAGCAGAACCTTCCTCACTGACAGAGGTGTGTATGTCCTCCCTGCTCTCCAGCCCACAAATCCTAACTCTGCCCACATGTCTGCTTCAGCCTCCCCCAGCATCAGGCTGGATGCCAGTGATGGTCCACTCAACAAAGAGGTCTGTGAAGGCTTGGAAAGCAGCGTGGGCCCCTTTGCATAGGGCAGGTCAGGGGCACCCAGCATGTGTTCTAGAAGATGTGTGTGTGTGTGTGTGTGTGTGTGTGTGTGTGTGTGTTCTCCCTGTCCCTGTGGGCATGGCCCTGATCCTGGGGCCTCCTTTCCTGCTGAGGAATAGCCAGAGAAAAGTCATTACAGGCCTCTAGTACCCAAAAGCTAGGGCACAGTCTCTTGCCAGACCTAAGGGTAGCACTGATTTAACTTTCACTTAGTTTCTTTAACTAAATTGTTATACCAAATTGATTCAGGGGAAGAATGCAAAAGTTTCTTTTATTGATTTTAGTGTAATCAAAATTATATTACAAAGCTGGCAAAAGAAAATGTGTTACTTTTTAGGATATTTTATTAGCTCCACCTCCCCACCCAGATTTAGTTTTTAAGGAAAAAATTCCCCAAACAATTAATATAACTATTTTCTAATGATTTTCAGAAAAGAGCACAAAATAAACAGGTGAAGCAGTCATTTAGCATCCTCAATTTTTATTAGGCCATTTTAAGAGAGTCTAAAGTTAATATAATTCAATAGTGAACAGATAATGTAAAACAATTAAAATTGCATTCAATAGTTGATTCATTAATGACATATCAAATCTAGATGGCAGATCCCTTTGTTAACAATAACATAAAGCAAATGAAAGGAATATTTCTGGAATATTTATTCTAAAATTAGGCATTCTAAATGCTGATAGACTTAATAAATTCAGAGTTCTTTACCTTGAATATTTAATTTGCTAGAACAATCTCTTTTACTATTTTTCTTCAGTTCTTCTATATTAGCAGAGCCAATTTCTGTAAACAGCTTTACTCTTAGCCTACATGGACTGTGGGCCATCAAGTCTGCCTGGATCATCAAGATTTCCTGTAAGTTTCCAGAATGTCTTAGCTAAAAATGGGAGGAATTTTAGCCTCATCCCCTTATTTTACAGAGAAGGACAAAGACTCAAGGCAGGTAAGAGAATTGGCCAAGGTTAGCTGGTAGTTTGTGTAATAGTAATGATTCTAGTTCAGAATATGGGTTCCTAATAGACCTATTAGGCAAATGGCAAGGGAAACCACTGTCTCAGCCCAGTAGTCATAGGAATCTTAGGGTAGAAATGTAAAAACTTTAAAATGTAGGGCTGGGGATTTAGCTCAGTGGTTTCTCTGCCTGCTGCATAAGCACAAGGACCCAAGTTCGATCCCCAGTACCAAAAAAAAAAAATGTAAACACCATGCAATTTATTTATTTTTATTAAATCGAGTATGTCTAATTTATCTAACAGATTGGATATTGTATTACTTTGTTAGGACTGCCATACAAAGTACCAGTACCTGGGTGGTTTAAACAATAGGATTTATTGTGTCATGATTCTGGAAGATAGAAGGTCAAGATCAAAGCATCTGCAGGGTTGGTTCCCTTTGAGGGAGATGAAAGAACATGGTCCATGCTGCTCTTTGTTGCTGGTGGTTTGCATGCAGCCTTTGATACTCCTCGGTTTTAGACACATCACCTTAGCCTCTGCATTGCCATTCTATAGTATTCTCCCTGTGTGTGTCTCCAAATGTCCCTTTTTTTATAAAGGTACGAATCCTATTGGATTAGGGCCCATCCTCTTCCTGTATAACCTCATTTTAACTAATCATATCTACAATACCCCTATTTTTAAAATAAGATCACATTATGAGATACTGGGAGTTAGGACTTCAAAGTGTATATGTTAGAGAGGACACAATCCAACTCATAATAGATATGAACATTAGAAAATATCTAATTTGTAATCACTATGTAGCAATGTTAGCCATTGCATCCTAGGCTTTGGAAGCAGAGAGGAATCAAACCTAGGAGGTAGATGGGGAGGCTGTGTTATCACATCTATTTATGTAACCCCTTCCACCATTGAGCATTATGTTTGTAGTATACAACTACATCAAATTATCTTTCCACAAAATTCTCAGTGAGGATTTATGTACCTAAACAGATGGTAAGGGAGACTACAAACCTAGAAAAGGAAGATTAAGAGTCAACATCTGAGGAGGGAAGTGTAGACATCGTGAAGGCAAAGATATCATGAAGAACCATCTAGAACAGCTCTATCCAATAAGCTTTTTTGCAATGATGGAAATGTTTTGATGTATACTACCCAATATGATAGCCACCAGCCACATGTGGCTACTTGAACAACTGAATATGGTATTGCAATTGAGAAACTCAATTTTTAATTTAATTTAACTTTAGCATTAACATTTAAATTTAAGAGGCTACATGGAGCTAGTAGCTACTATGTTGAACAATGAAGATCTAAAATGGAAAGATGGATAAGCACAAGAGAGGGAGTTGTAACAGGACAGGGAGACATAAGTCGCCAGGAAGTGGAAAGGTGGGAACTAAAGGTGAGATGTCATCCTAAGTGGGAGGAGATGGGGTTAAAAGGGAGCTGTAATGGTTAACTTTCTGTGACTGCGTGGTTAGGCATGGTGCCATATTGTTTGATGGAACACCAGTCTAGATCATGCTGTGGAGGTCTCTTCCTGTTCGGTCCCTCAATTGACCAGCTGAGGTCCACCCACATTATGGAGGATGCCGTGGTTTGGACGTTATTTGAGTGCCAAAGGGTTTATGGGTTTTCCATGGGGACCTGTAAGAGGTAGGGCTTATGCAAAGTAATTAGGCCATTGGGGGCACTGTCCTTAGAAGTGATTAGTATAGTTCTCATGGATCCACCCTAGCTTCTACCTTCATGGAGTTCCTTAAATTAAATGTGATTCCCCACAATCTCATGAGCTGTTTCCTAAACTGCCCTTCTCTCTCTCTCTCTCTCTCTCTCTCTCTCTCTCTCTCTCTGTATGGTTTTGCTTCTCTGGAAAGCCCTGACAAATAGAGGAAGACAGGAGGTTGCCAGGCATATTTTCCTTAAAAATGTTTATTATAGCTAATTTATTCATGAGATGAGTTGGATATAAATTCCAATAAATAAAATGAAAACATGATTTTCACATTTCATTTCATATCATGTAAAGCAGCAACTAGTATGTGGGAAAACCTGAGTTCTATGAAAGCTAAATAATAGTCAAAAAGAGAATAATAAAATGGTTTAATGCCTCTTGCTAGAGACACTACTTAAATGAGCTGAGCTTACTCTGCCTCATAGCTCTTGTTTTGTTTTGTTTTTTGAGACAGGGTCTCACTATGTAGTTCAGGTTGGCCTTGAACTCATTGTGTAGCCCAGGCTGGCTCGAATTTGTAGTGATCTTCCTGCTTCAGATTCATGAGTGCTGGGATTACAGATAGTACTACATTGGGTGCTGTCTCCCAGCTCTTGCATGCCTATGATTTCCACAAAAGCCAGTGAATTTGTGCTTCCATGAGGTCTCCTGGATTATGCCTGTGGAGACAAAGAGGACTCCTCAGAGGTTATAGGTTCCAGGTAGCAAATCCTGTACCCTTTTCTCCCTGCAGGACTGGACTGCAGCTCAGTGTGCCAGGCCAGGCAGCTCACAGGCTGAGTGGCAGGCTGTAGGTGCTGAATCATGAGGGAACAATCCTTTGGTGCCAAGGTTCTTCTTTAAATTCATGTGGTGGATTTTGTAATTGTTTGCCACTTGGATGCACTTCTCATCAGGGTTCAACAAGTACTCCTAACTGCAAGGGATGGAAACAAAGGGCCACTCTAGGCCTTCGCTAGCCACCCACTTACAGGCAGGTTGAAACCAAAGAATTTTGCAT